TTGTGACTACATAAGTTGATGCTTGAGAACATCAAAAAAAGTTTTTTAACCAGAATGATAAACTCACTGAATTTTTTACCAAAAGATTAACGAAAGATATTTTGATGATCACTTCTAAATCTATATTTCAGTATTTGATCGAAATGCTGATATCATTCTTGTGTGATTATATATTTCACACAAAATACATTTTTGATAAGAACATTTAGCAATCATGATTTAATACAATGATATCAGACAGAGCTTGGAGGCAACGTAAAATCGTGTTTGGTTGGTTAGCGGTCAGGTTAAATGGATTTTAATAATATTAATATTATATGAACTTGCTCTTTCTGTAGAAGTTTCGATCATGTATACTATATAACGCCCAGGGGCGTTATTTTGAATAATGCACGTTATTTCGTGTTTATATGAATAATCGCATAATCAGGCAACATTTGCATGTACCTATCAAGCACTGCAATAGTGCGACGCTAACCCTTGTTCTTTTAATGGAGGTCTCCCACGAAGCATGATTGTTTATTATTTTATATTTTAAAAAGAGATAACGATAAAGTTGTATTTTGACGAAATTTGTTAAATAAATAAATACTATCCATTGTTAAGAATGTATTAAATTATTTAAACCATTTTTAAATCAAACAATCATGTTTTTTAACATTACGTTTCAATTATTATAAAATGCACCTATGGTGTTTAGCACCATATACCGGGTGGGTGAAAAGTCTATATACAGGCCCCCTTTTTTTTAATCACTAAAATAGTAATCATTGCAATATTATATATAAATTGTATTTAAAATCAAGTACTATAAATCTTAGCGGAGATAGTAAAAAAAGGGACCTGTATAGAGACTTTTCACCCACCCTGTATAATTGTTTTTAATAAAATTTAAGGTTAGGGTGCATTTTTATGAGGGTTTTTTTTATATACATTATAATATATATTTCCAATTTTAGTTTTCATGAGGTTTTTGAACATTTTACTTAGAATACCAATCCCATTTACTTAGTACGTTTTTGAGAAATAGGGACCTATGGTGTTGAATACCATAGGTGCATTTTAGTAAACTTGTTACGTTTTAACCCATTTTCCATCCTAACTGTTCCATGAAATGAACTTGTCTGTGAATTAATCATTGGTAAAATAAATCTTGTTTGTAAATTAATTGTCGTGAACTAAGTTGTCTATTAAGTGATCATTGGTGAAATAATACAGACCAATAAAGAATAATAAAGAATAACGAACGATAATATTCAGGAATAAATCAAATATCTATAAGATATTTGGGGGCGCTTCCGCAGGCTCAAAACATCTTACAGATACTTGATTCATCAATTATAAGATAATTTATAACAAACAGTTTCATCTATTATCAATTAAAACCTCGAAACTGACGAAAGCTAGCAAAATTGATTATGTACCATATCTACGCGAATTAAATTGCTTATTTATGTTAGATAAGATGAGGCTTATAGAATAGAATTCAGAAACAAAGATCAATTATTCTTTCAGCCTTGTATAATACAAATCATGTTTGCTTAGATTCTGCCACATTTTATGTCACGAAAATTAAATCGAAATTGAAGATCAGCAAATTATTTTGCTAAAGATAAAGGTTGGAATCGAATATTCAATTCATTGAATATTAGGGGGCCTCAGACTTAAGGTTCAGGTTCCCGATTTCGAATTAAATTACGACTTATTAATTTTGTAATCAGCGATCTATAAATCCTTTATCTGCAAGCCTATTTATATAATAAGATCATAAAAAAAGTGTTTATTTTATTTCCGGACAACTCCTTTTTCATTTTCTGATTTCGAAATTTCAAACACCCACTTATGTAGTTTCAAAATAAGTTAACCCTGAAACCCTATTTGAATTAATTCATATAAATATAACTTGAATTGACTCGAATTATACAAATTATGTAAGGAGTACATACAAATATGTATGAATTAAAATCAAGTTTATTTGAACGTATTTATCAATTCAAAAAATAAATTCGATTCCAACCTCTAGCTAAAGAACTAATAAATAAAGCCACATACACGGGATACAAATATTTGCAACTTTTTCAAGCTTCCCAACCACAAGAAATAACCTTGGAGAATGATAAAAAAAAAAAATTTAAGAATCTTTCGCTACGAATATTGACGATCAATGGAAATATAAATAGAAAACATAATAATTTTCACAATCGGTAACTTTTTTTTTTCAATGAAATGAATCGTAATTATAAAAATGGAAAAAATGACAGGAGTAAAAATTTTCTTTTTAAGGATTGTGTGAGAAATCTTTACGATGAACTCTGCACGATAGTAATACAATGCACCATAAATGTTATAAGCATAAATAAAAATATATCAAATACGGCAAGGATGAGCAAGCCAAAATAAAGTGTAGTACTATCGCGCAAATAGGATAAACACATTAGTTAATTAGTTACCCAGATGAGCACTGCCACAAATAAATAGAAGCTTCTGATGCAAAAAGCGGTTTAATAATATTTGTGTATATCTTAATATCATTACTGCAACTTTTTGGAATTGGACCTAATTAAGAACCCCGAATTACTATTTGATTTTGTAATTTTTTATATAATTATTGACATGACTCATCTATTAAAATGTATAAAAAATCAATATAATTATTGCGTCAAACCCATATTCCCACCTTAAAACCATCTTTTTTTTTTAAAGTCAATCTGTTTATGGTATTTATCGTTATTTATTTATTAAATATTTTGACTCATTTTAACACGTCCGTCAAATATGCGTCATAATTTTTAGGGTAGTATAAAAAGACATCGTAATGTTTATAATGAAATCGATTAATGAACTTTAATACGTATCGGATATGTAACGCCAAATTTACCAAAAAAAGATAATAAAATAAAAGGTTAATCTAAACGTGTGACTAATTACGTATTTAAATACGACCTTTGTATTTTTGCCTTTATAATAATATTGGACATACTTTGTTATACATTTAAGTAACTCATGAAACTTTAAATATGGCTTTATATGTTTGACAACTGGAAATATGGTAAATATGGTATATTTTTATTACAATAATATTCCTTTAATCATCTGATTACGTGAAACCCGTAACTTATCTCTACAATCACGTCAATAACAATTAGAATAATATCAATAGCTCTATAAATACGCATTCTCATGTCTTCGTACGTATAAAAAAAATTCTCAGAAATATCATAAAGCTGTAAAGAGATAAATATGAAAATAATCGATTCCCGCTATGTTGGTTCCTTTTTTTTCCTAGTGTTATTTGGTGGTGTGCTTTTTAGCTTTACGACCCTGAGCCTTTCAAAGTTTCCATCACCAGTTAATGATACTTTTACAGGCTTTCAAACGTGGCATCCTGAAATTAAAAGTATATAAAAAATTCCTTCATATTATTGTACTGAATGAGTGTTAATATATATATATATATATTTTTTATAAAAAATTTTTAAATAATATAATTTTTTTATTTTTTTATTTTTTCATAGATTTTGACGTAGAAACATGGTTTTCGATGGTCCTTTTTACTGGCATATTACAATTAGCTACTGGAGCATTTATGCTAATATGGGCCTTTAAATACGAGACTATTCTTATCTTCATGTTTAATGGCGAAAGAACTTCTACAGTTCTCTTTAATAAAATAATTGGTGGTTTTGCTATCATAACTTCCATAGTTGCGTTCGCCTTGATTTACCTTGATGCTGGAAAAATCTGGACTCCGATTGGCGTGGTGCATAATTATGCTGAAGTTTTTATGTTGTTACTTTTACACCAAGGAGGAAATCTTGCTTCAAGCAATAATGTTATTTTCTATAGTTTGCTTTACATATTAGTAGTTGAAGGTACAACTATTTTATTAGGATGGCCTTATGATGCTTTCTTTTTTAAATTTCAAGGTTAATTTTTTTTTATATTTTCTGTATGTTGTGATTTGGTTTTTGAAGCATCGACTAATACTTGATATATATTTGCAGGCCTTGCTATTGATTGGGCTCTTTTCATCCAATTTATGAGAGTATACAATTTAACAAAAAAAAATTATATAGAAGGTTATATTAGTTTACCTCAACATACCTCCGATGATGAAAGGGAATCAGAAGAACATGATCATCGACCAAATAATGTTCGTCCTAAGAAGGATTGCCATCTTGGCCATGTGTCTTTATTGCCTTTAGCAGCGTTCTGGCATATAGCGGGAAATGTTTTAAATACTATCTTCGTAAATGAAGCACTTCCGTATGTTGGTCTTTATTATAGTTTTATCATTTATTCTATTTTTTGCTATGAAATCTTACCAGTCTATACTTTTTTTAACATCCATTTATTATAGGAACTATTTATTTAGCTTCAGTTACGGCTTCATGTTTGCTTCATTCGCTTTCTTCGTATATTTGGATACCCACTTGAAACCAAATAAACCAAATAAACCTATTTTCTTACCTGATTCCTCTACTCCAAGCGTTGTTTTAGTTACAATTGCTTCTGTAACGCTTTCACTTTTATCTCTTAGGCTTGGTTTGTTTTATTTAGTACATAGTTAAAGAAATTTATGCATTATTAACGATTCGAATTTCTTTTTTTTTTTATTCATGAAAATGAAAATGAGTCAATCATTATTCTACATGCCTTGTATTATATGCTTGTAATTTTTAAGTACCTTAGGTTTAGGTACATTTTATTTTACACACTTATTAAATCACATTCAAAATATTACTTATAAATAAAAAGCAATTTTTTAATACTAAATTTTTGATCAAAAAATAAAAAAAAAAACGATAATACTAATAATTCTTTTGTCTAAAGAAGAAAGTTCTTTTATGACCCTCGATTTCTAGATGCTAAAATAAATTTTTAAGTTTATTTATCAAGAATAATGATCATTTCATCAATGTTTTTATAAAAAACGTTATACTTTAACAATACCTAAATCTTAATAATATCTAAAATATCGTGCCAAGCTTTAGGAATAATTTTATCGGAAAATAATTTTATTTGAAAATAAAATTGACAAGTGTCACGAATTTTTTTTATAATCTTAGCATTTTTTTCATTTTTATATACTTGCACCTTTTTTTGCCTGAATTAGCAAATTATTTTAAGTTTATGCTACGTATACTTTTTCAGTATTGTATACACTCATACTTTATTTCTTAATAGAGTGATTCTATGATAATGGTTTTCTGATTGACTTGATTGGTTGGGCCCGCATTAATGTATGACAAGCAATTTATCCTTAAATATTTAACTTTATCAAAAGTTAGAACATAACATCTTTGCAATAAAATTAACAATAATAAATTTTAAAACAAACATATTGTGTAATGAATCATATTATAATAAGTAATGAGTAACTTTTTTTTTTTTTAGATTTGAAGGTATTTATTGTACTTTGCAAAAAGATGCAGATCTCAATGTCGTGTGAAAATTCAGAGATTCTGTAGATTTTAAGAATCTTACCAATTTCAAATAAATATAAATATAATTGATCGAAAATATGGGCTATTAGACAATTTAAAATCTCAGAAAATTCCTCGTTCATTATCACAAAAATCACGGGGCACATCTTTCTTGCAAAGCGCGATAATATTCAGCCATTCCTAGAATGGAATCCGATTATCTTTTTCTAAAAGAATTAGTGAGAAGTTAGAAAAGGGAAGATCGCAGACATCAATGAAGCTTACGAGCAGTGTTGCTAATAATAAAATTAAATTCTGGATCGAATGTTCATCCATATTTTGGGTTATTCATTTGGAACACCATTTGTAACCCTGAAATTGTGTGATAACGGAAATGTATTTAGACTGTGACTTTTGATCCAATAAATTTTCTCAATTTCTATATATTTGTCAACAATATATATATACCAAGTATATATAAAACATATAAGTGAGCGAATTTTGAAAATAGTATCTTGCATTAGGTATTTGTTATTGATATACATATTGCACCTGACTATTACAAGGTGAAAATAGCACATTTTATACATATTATATAATACACATATTTATCTAATAGTTATAACGCCCATATCGATACTAATTGACGATCAATGATTATTTTAAGTGTACAAAACATTTTCTCCAAAATGAGGAAGCGGAGCAGAAACACGTGATACTTAGCCAATCAACTTATAGAATTTTGACGATCTCCGGCGAAGCAAAACAAGAAAGAAAAGCGAAAAACATGAAAAATACAAAAAACAACAGTCTAAACCCACCTTGGGTAGGTTAAGCAAAAATGATAGAAGAGCAATTTTGCATATATAACTATTTAAAACCTATTAGAGATGGTAAAGTTTGGTTTGGTTTGATCAAACCTTGATATATGTAGTTAAAACCAAACCAAACCAAACTATAAAGTTTAAATCAACAGTTTAAAACTTTAATTTAAACCTGGTTTGGTTTATATAAACTTGGTTTAATTTATATAAACCAAATAAATATTTTATTTTTATGCACCCTTATATAATTATGCATAATTGTGCATAATTATGCATAATTATGTATAAATATGCATATTTATATAAGTTTATGCAAGGAGTACATACAAATATATAAGGAGTACATGAAAAATAATTTATATATAAACTGTATTAAAACTAGTTTAAATAGTTTAAAAAAACTAAACCTGGTTTGTATTATAAACTATCTCTTAAACCAAGTTCAACCTGGTTTTTTAACAACTTTATCATCCCTAAAACCTATTCTAACTTTAATCTAAGAATAACTTAACTCTTAAGTTAATTTAATAAATATATATTATTATAAAAATTTACTCTATTTTAGGTGTCCTCCAAAATAAGTAGAAAAATTAACAACAATGAACATCTCAACAAAAACTTGCCAATCATTTTACTAACCAGCTTAACTATTAACTCACTAACTATCTCAACAACATCTTGCCAACTATCCCAACAATAATCTTGCTAACAATTTTATTAACAATTTTGTCAACTTTCTCAAGTATATCTTTTTGTTATAAATCTTAGTTTCATCATTCATTAACAAATAATAATAGAAATTATTTCTTATTATTGCAGTATTTATCTAATCTAAAATATAAAAGAAGATTAGAGAAGAACCAGAAAATATGTATTTTTTTAAGAAAAAGGTGATCTTTTAAAAATACAAATCTATATATAAAAAAATTAGAGGTTATCTGAAGGAAGGAGAGATAGCTTTATATAAAATAAAAAACATGTATTTTCTTGCTCTTCTTTTATATAAAAAATTAAGGGTTACCCAGAATACCCAGAAGATTCAGATAATAACAGCTTTCTAACGCTTAATCTGAGGGCTTCTGAATCTTGCGGAGCCGTGCAAGCCGGGCATACGGTGACCGCTGTAGAAGACA